CGGTGTAAGGTTCACCTTGGGCCGTCCCGGTGCAGACGAGCTGGAGCCTTCGCCGTTGCCGCCTTTTGCCAAGGCAGCGACCCAGTCAGCTTCCTGTTTTTTCTTTTCTTCATCTGCTTCTCGTTTTTTTCCTTTTGCCTGGAAGGCTAGTCTTCTTTTGTTGGAGACGGTGCCGGATCCCGCCGCCCTATTTTTATTGTTTTTTGCTGGCGGGGGGCCTTTTGGCAAGGCTGGGCTCGACGGCCGGACGGGCACAGGAGGACCTTTTGGCCGAGGTGGCACAGGCGGCTCAGGCACACCAGCACCTTAGTCCCACCAGTCCCACCACCAGTCCGTTTTTGTCACGGGCTGGTTCCAACCGCTGCTCCAGGACCACCATGGCTCTTCCCGCCACGACATTCTGTCTAGGGTTCAAGGTTTGTTACACTTATATAAGGCGTAAGAATTTTCGGGGTTTAGGGGTTTAGGGTTTGGGGTTCAGGGTGTCAGGGTTTAGGGGTTTAGGGTTTAAGCTGCTACTGCTGCTGCTGCTACTGCTACTACTACTGTTGTGGTTGTCGTGGCTCTTGTGCGGCCTGTGGTGGTGCTACTGTTAGTGCTGCTAAGGTGTAGTGGTCATGCTGGTGGCAGTGGGATACCCGGTAGTGGTATAGTGGTGGCAGCAGTAGCAGTACTGCATGTTTGTCGTGGTAGTTGCCTATGGCTGCTGCTGTTTTTGCTGCTGCATTTGCTGCTGAAACTTGAGCCAGCAACTTCGATCCGGACGGCTCCTCTTCTTAGGGTTTGGGGTTCGGGCTTGGAGCTGGGGTTTCGTTTGGGATTAAAGGTGCTTCGCCTTTTGCCAATCCTCAAGCTGCACGGAATCCTATATTGTTTGCACTTCTTGCCAAATCTTATGTGCACTCGGAGTCTGATTGCTTCAGGGCTTACAGTTTCTAAGCTGTGGGAAGCTTTTTGACTCTATATATATATATATATATATATATATCTAGCACTCATACACATACACATACACAGACATAAACATAGACATAGACATGAACATAGACATATACAAAAACTTGCATATACACCTATATAAATATATATATATATATATACACATATACAGGTATACATATAAACAGCTTCGAAAACTATCAGCATATGAACACATGAAGTAAAATACATGTCGCCTTTATCCGAATACCGAACACATAAAAACATATATGTATGTATGTGCATATATGTATATATAAATACACCTGCCAGTGTGTGGCTAGGGTTGTCTGTGCATGGGTTTTTTCGAGGTCCCTGCCTAAGGTTATCATATACCTCTTCACCCTCGTATAAGATCTGTGCACACGTACATTGCTTTCACAACATCTAGAAACACACTGTGTCCAGATGCGTCCAGGCTTCGGCCCAACTTTTCACGGCTTTGCGGTTGCTGCACAAGCTTTTGCACGAAGCTAGCCTCCGGCAGCTGAAGCTTGAAACCGGTTGCCCAAACACAAACTTAAATTATATGATCCTTTCGGATATTCTTATACGTATTAACCTTAAAATCCAAAAACTGCTTGGCTCATGTACTATGGCCTCTGGATCAACGATGTTTCGGGTGGGCCACAATCCAAGCATACAGCTATAGTGAAACAAAGTTGCCCTGCCAAACCTTTTCTCAAGGTGAAGGAAACCTTTCTGCAAGGTGTTCAAAAGCCAGCCTTTTATCAAGGTGCCCAAAAAGCCTTGGGTGCTACAGCTAGGCATTGCAAAGCTTTTCTCGTTCCTCCCAGGCCTGCTCCTTGGTAAGGCCTCTTTCAGTGATCATCTTGAGCAGTGTCTCGATGTGCTCCTGGTAGAGCTCGGACCGGTGCCTGCTAACTTCGATGATGAGTCTCCTCTTGGCCTTCGGAGATGGGTCCAAAGTGCCGAGGATGTAAGCCCTTTCCGGATTGGTGGCACGAGTAATGCCAAGGCGATACCACTTGCGAGGGGCACCAGGTCGTCGGGTTTTTGTCTTGGGCATTGCCTTCGCCTTGCCAGAGGGGCTTTTGGCAAGCCCCTTCTTCTTCGGCATGGCCTTGGCCTTGGCCTTGCCAGAGGGGCTTGCAGCAGGCCCCTTCTTTGAAGGTTTCGGCGCTTTCGCTTTGGCGGAAGGGCTTTTGCCAAGCTCCTTTCTTTTTTTCTTTTTTTTCTTACTTTTCTTTGTCTCCTCTTCCACATGAAACCCCATGTCTTTCTGCAGCTCTGCTGGGGTCTTCGACGACTTGGCCTCCGAGGCTAAGATCTTGCAGCCCCTTCTTCTTCTCACGAAGGACGAGGCTGGGGCAAGAGCTGCTGCATCGTCGCCCTGCTCACTATCACTATCACCTTTGGGCAAGGCGAGTGCTTTGGATGGCGAGCTTGCCGTACCTTTTGCCAAGGCGACCGCTTTGGATGGCGACCCTTTCGACAAGGATGCGTCCAAGCCACTGAAATTCGGGAAGCCGTCGGAATCCAGCGACACAGGATCGCTCGGAAACTTTGCCAGCTTCCGTTTCTTAGCCCCTCCCTCTTCAGGCTCTTCTTTGGCTTCCCCTGCCTGGCCCTCCTTCTTCACCATCTTCGCAACAACATCGCACAGCCGAACGAACTGGGCACTTTTGAGTTTCCCCGCACAAGCTCGGAGGTCGGAAGGGGTTTGCTTTAAGCGGCGAAAGTGGTACAAAATGACTGAAAATCTCGCCACCTTGAGTCCTATCCAAACCTTCCCGTTATACACAGTGGTGTTGAGACTTGGATCTCGCAGCAGCAGGTCGAACAAGGCAGTTCGGAAAGATCGGTCGTGGATTTCCCCGGTTGGCTCGAGGGAAATCAGAGACTCCACCAACTCGAGAACGTGCATGAGGCCCGCCGGGTGGCAGGCTTGGGTCTTGCTTAACGTTTCGTAAGGGCCAAAGTTTCTGATGGTATGTATGTGAGTCTCCAATACATTATACATTCGCGAGGCATCGATCTGTGGCTTGGCTGTGTGTCGGTGTCCGCCTCTGCCTCCCATGGCTAGGCCTTTTGGCAAGGCGTCCTCCAAACTTGACCCGGGCAGGAAACTAACAAAAACGTACGATTCGAGGCCGCCTTTTGTCAAGGTGCCTCAAACCCAAAACTTGTCAAGTAGATCTGCTCAAAAGCAGGCCATGGCGATTCACCCCTATACCTACGATCTTGAAAGCATGCATATATAACCCAATTTATGAATCGTGATGGGCCCGGGCCTAGCCCTAAACAACCGATCCTAAACCCTTAAACCTAGAAGCCAAACCCGGTATCTCGCAGGGGTCGATCAATGCTGCGAGCCCCAAATGACGGGGCATGGCAACTCGCATGAATGCTCCATGTTATTTAAACAAAACCAAGACATGTATATATTAAACATCGAAATCAATATTCAATTCAATATTCAAATCAATATTTTTATCAATATTCAAATCAATATTTTTATCAATATTCAGATCAATGGAAACTAGCGCTTCGAATCAATATGGAGATCAATATGTCGATCAATATGCCCCCTATTGATTTAATCAATAAAAGACAACCAAATCAATATCAATGTAAAATATCTACTTCTTATTGATTAGAATCAATAACCGATGCCCAGGGACTGTTCTTGCGGAATACGGGTTGCTGCTGAACTACAAGAAATGCAAGCTCTACTGCTCACCCTACAGTGGCAAAACTAGAACGATGCAACTGGGGGAACACCGTCTTTCAGACCAGGGCTTCATCACAGTGCTGGGCCTGGACATGAGGGTTGGAATGACAACGTGCCAGTTCCTGCAACCACTGCTTACGAGGGCTCGGAATAAGTTCTGGTCTATCAAGCATCTGCTCAGGCGCCGCACACCGGTGAGTGGGAGAGTATGCCTCATGGACAGAGTCGTCACAAACTCCTTGATGTGGTGTTTGGGGGCCATCCCACCGGACAAACATGCTTTGGGCTTAGTCAACAGTTTCCAGGCGATGCTTTTAGGCTGGTTGATGCGGCATGCGAAGGGCAAGGGGGAGAGCTGGCCGGACTTCAGAAGACGATCGGTGAGGGCTTCGAGAGCTGTCTTGTGCAAGGCGGGTGTCTCCAGGTGGTCGACGACCTGGCTTAATAGATGGTGGGGTTTTTCGGGGCATAGAGAGCGAGCGTGCTTCAGAGATCAGCCGCCTATTTCATCAAGGATCGACCGCTTTCGGACTCTTCAGTGGTGGCGTGAGCAACAAGCCCTGCCCGAAGGAGTCGGACTCCGACATCCGGCCAAGCTCTACGCCCGACTTACAAGCTTGGAGATCTCCATGGACAAAGCGTGTCTGGGACCCTGGAGGGAAGTAGCGAGGGACAGGGTTAGATGGGCTGATGCAGGGCGGAGATGGACACAACAGCAGGACCTTCCGTGGTCTTCAGGAAAACAGCTGAGTTTGGGTGATGCTTAATTGGGGGTGGCGTGATGAAGGTATGGTGATGGCCTTACCTGAACAGCAACCTCCTTACAGCCTCGGCTTTACTATGCTCGCTTTTGTCTACTCTCGTCCAACATGCAGCGACGGTTATGTGCTTAGTACTCCTTCGAGCAGGGATTGACAATGGTGCAGTGGGTGCTTACAAAGGGTTTCACCGAACAGGGTTTTCTTTCAAAGTGATCAGGAGGTGCCTCGACGTGCTTCGCAAGGGTTTCACTACAAAGGGTTTCGTTCAGCGTCTGGAGTGCAATTACCTCTCCGGCGACTACTGGGATGGAGCAAAGGGTTTACAAGGGTTTCACTGATGAGTCAAACTTGAGTCGTGCTCGAACACCGTGGCCACAGACTTGGGTCGAGCTGGCCCGCAGCGATAGCGATCTTCGCTCTCTCCGATCTTTCATATGGCGAACCGCTGGGCGTCTCCTTCGATGCGCAACCTTGTGCCTGTGGCCCTCTACTCACTGTGGAGTGTGTGCGCAGGAATGAGGTGGGACGGGCATGCTGGCCTTTTGGGACTGCTCTCGATGCAACCCATGCCGATGGCCCAACCGCCCGAAGTCTTCGGTGATTGGCCCCCACACTGGTATTACCAGGCAAGAATGACGGCTAGATCACTGGTTGCAGAAGGGAGCGACTCCAGTCAGATGATGAACTTCCTCTACTACCTGGTGTGCACCCGGGACGACCCCTACTACACGGAGTTCCTGCCGCACATTCTGGCGGATCTTGAACATACTCTGTCGGCTCACCTTGACCCGACGGCGGTGGTACGGCCTCTCAATGATCAGGAAATGATGTGGGCGCGGTACGTGGAGGACGCCCTGCACCAGGAGTTCCTTGAAGAGTACTACCCGCAGGAACAAGCTCAGCTGGAGGCCCAGGCGGGTCTTCTTCCAATTGAGCTGGTGACCCTGCATGCGGCGGCGGACCCTGAATCTGAGGCCCAAAGGGTGAGGCGAAAGGAGTTCAACCGGAAAAGGGAATTACCCAGGGTGGTCAAGGCGATCCTCGATCTCCCCGTGGAGGGTGCCTCCTCCTCGTCGAGTGATGAAATGCCCTCGATGCACTATCGGGTTCACCAGGCGATGGGTAAACGGGCGTGGCAACAGCAAATCAATGCTGACAGCACTCCTATGTTGACCCAGCACGAACGCAAAGTGGTCTGGATGCAAAGGGTCACACGCTTCCTTCGACAGGTACATCTGGAAGGGGATGATGGCTGGGCCTTCCAGCTCCTTCGTCAGAGGGTTCTTGGAAGAGCAACTTCCAACTATGTGAGCCGGGCCATGGGCTACTTGAGGGAGATCGAGGTGGCAGTGGCCCCAGCAGACACTATGGGAGTTGAGCCGCCTGAGCACATCAGTGATTGGGCCATCCAAGAAGAAGCCTCCTTGTACCGGATCCTCACTACGTGGGAGCCTGATGACGAGGTGCCCGCGACTGCCTCTGTGGATGTGGGAACTCAGGGACAACCGGCCTTCATGGTGAACTTGACTGCGGATGACGAGGTCCTTGAGGTTGCCGAGGGTAACGAGTCGGAAGGCGTTGAGGGCATCGGGCTTGGAAGCAGCATGGAAGGTGACTACGGGGACCAGGATGACACCTTGCACGTGCCGGCATGCTTGACGGTGCACTCGCATTCGAATGACGAGGGTGTCGGGCATGAGCAAGGGAGCACCTCCAACAATGCCGTCGATCTTACCCAGTGTGCTGACGGCAGATGGAGCATGAATATGGAGGGGGATACGGAAGTGGTGCAAATGTATGACCTCACCCAGGACGAGGACGCCGGTGACTCTGATGAAGTGTTCCTTATGGATAGGGCAAAGCCAAAAAAGCGCTGGCTTAAGAGTCGCAGCCGTAGCCGAGGAAGCAGAAGGGCGGCCCCCGCTGCTGTCACCACGGAAGTGCGGCGACTCACGGAGGCAGGGAGGGCAAGTGCGAGGGCAACGCCGTCTGCCACGTGCACTCCGAGTACTCCGGCTAATTCGAGCAGCGGGACGGGAGAACCAAAGGCGAAAGCCAAGAGCAGGCCGAGGTCGTCGGGAGACTCGGCATCGCCAGCTCCGACTCCTGGAACTCCCATGTCCGCCCAGGAGGCACGTGACCTGTGGTTTAGTCTGCTGGGTGTTACGGATGAAGATGCCCCGGCGGACTCCTTCCCGACCACGTTTCAATGCAATGTGATCTCTGAGACCTTTCTGGGTTTGTCGTTGCAAGACCGAGTCACCTTTCTTGCTTCCCTCGGAATGGTGACACAACGGATCCTCGAGGTTGTCGGTAACTTGGTGCAGCTTGCCCGTGCAAATGAACGAGACAATGAAGAGGTGGAAGTTCCAATTGAAGAGGACACGGCTGCACTGATGCAGCAAAGCACGGCAAGGAACGATGGTTGGTACGACGAGCTACGACTCCTGCAGGAGACTCTGGAAGAGATGACGCAGGAGGAGAAGTGCTCATGCTCTTTGCTCCTGCTGAAACTGCTGGACTGGAAATGCACAAACTGGGGAGCCGGAATGGTGGTGGGCCACGTCACCGGCCGCGCCGCGGACCTCTTGGCTCTCCTCACTGTGGCCTTCGAGGAGCGCAAGGGAAGGGTCATGGAGTGCCGACCGGACGAGGACCGGGTCATGCAACTGTGGCAGAGGGTCCAGCCATACCTACCAATGGCAACTGGATCCAGAGCTCAGCGGGGAGTGCCCCTGTGCAGTCAACGCCCGGCCTGGTGTGAACCACATCACCAACCGAACACGCCACCGAGCTCACCGGGGTCCCCAGTGGCAATTGACTCGGCGGATGCACAGCCGCTCCATGGTGACCTGCCGGCTGTGATCTTGGACCGTGAACTTGCGTATGAAAGGGAACCCGAGGCTACTGAGGATGAGGGACAGCGGCGCAGGGAGGAGGAAGAGCAATATGAAGAACAGCGTGTACGGGAACACATCCTCCAGAACCAGAAGGAGCAGGGCCGGGCTTACCAGGAGTGGGAAGACCGGGTGATGGCAAGATCGCTCCAGACGGGACAGACCCGCTCGAAGCGGAAGGGGATCCAGTTGGAGCTCAGCTCGGGCAGTGCTGATGCGCCTCGAGTGGTTCGTCGACTCACTCTCCCCACGGACACCACACAGCTCAACATCTGCATCCGCTTGGTACAGGACATGGAGGACAGTGATGCAGATACAGAGCCGGTGCCGGAGCAACCTACACCCAGGGAGTTGCCATGTGGCACCCTGGCTCCGGGAGAGGGCGACTGCAGTGCAAGTGCCGGTGAGTTGGGGGTGGACCAATACGACCAACTGCGGCGAGCTCTACAAGCAGGCACTACCAGCTTGGCGGAGATCCAAGGCCAGCATGGGCAGCAGGTGGTGGAGATGCTGCAGGTTCAGTGGGCGATGGAGCAAGCGTCTGACACACAGATGACGGTGCCCTTCTCGCCTCAACCTCAAGGGGACCTCTACCGAAGCTGGTTGGCAGGACACACATCGGATGACCAGGTGATGCATGCCCTGGGTGCCCACGGTTTGGAGCTCTTTCAGTCGGCTAAGGCACTGCATGAGCAGGGGACATGGCACGAAGAGGATCACCACATCGATGGACCTGGGGGAGAGCACAATGTGGGGCAAGCTGTTACGCAGATTGACCTGGCGGTGGATGATTTGCTTGCAACAGGGCCGGGAGTGGCGCCAGTTCTACCTCCGGCTGATACAGGTGCAGCGGCTTATCCACTACGACCACTGCCGGAAGATCCAGCTGATCAATTCGAGAGTTGAGGGCTATGCTGGTTCCAGTGGCGAATGTGACTGGTGTCGCTTTGTTCTGCGGGGTCGTGTCTCCTGGTGGCTGGCACTGCGGGCAATGAGGGTGACTCCTGAGGGTTTTCTTCCAACGGGGCGTAAAGTGTCCTGTTGTCCTGGCTTTACAGCCTCTTCGAACCTGCTGGCTTGGAGAAAAGGAGCTCAAAACAAAAAAAAAACCCTAAACCCTAAACCCTAAATCCTAAACTCTAACCCCGCCCTAGACCACTAGACTTCCCAAACCCTGCCTTAACCCCAAATAACCTACCTTTTTCAGGACTTATATAGCGAAATCATAATAAGGAACCCTAAAAAGGTAGGTTATTCAGGGCTAAGGTAAACAAGGCCCACTAGAGCCGAGGTTCATCCTGGATCCAGAGGCAAACATGAAGTTGGGGATGCGGCAGTTTGAGAGAAAGTGCATGGTCTTGGCCTCAGAAAGGGAGGGTTTAGGGTATAGGGCATGGTCTTGACCTCCGAAAGGGAGGGTTCAGGACATGGCTTGGGGACTCATAGTTTGAAAGGGAGGTTCAGAAGATAAGGGGGCCCTACATATGTTGCAGGCCGTTGATGACGGTGTTTTAGCATCATTACTTTGATCCAAACCATGTTACACCCAAGGCCAGGATACTTTTTTGAGGACCTCATCTTAATCAGCCGTAGTATAAGAAGGACAGTATCTGATGTGATGATATATCGCCTGTAGCTCTACGACCTACAGTCTCCATTGTAGTTCCTTTTTGGGGTTACCTTACATGACCCTCAGTATAAATATGGTTAAACCAGAAAAAGGAACTGCAATGGATACTATAGGTATGGTCACAACTGAAGCCACGGCTCCCGCTGCCGTATCAAACGGCTCACGAGGTGAGGCTGCAGGGCCCTCATGTCATACCTGTGGTCTCCATTGTAGTTCCTTTTTGGGCTTACCTTATGGAATCCTACTTACAAACTTGGTCAAACCAAGAAGGGAACCACAATGGAGACTGCAGGTATTACCGGTGTCGACGTGGATAGTTGATTCTGCCTCCCCTGAGGTCCTGCAGCGAACACCCAAAGGGTCCAAAGTACCTACATCGTAGGAAGGTTTTGTCATAGGAACTAGTTTGGGGAGGTTTCACTCATATAGGTACTTAGGAAACCTGAAACCCTAAAACCTGGACCCAGGACCCTTTTGGAAAGATTGCATCTGTGGAAACCTGTGCTCCGAAAACCTCCGTAGTTCCAGTGCATTCGTCGGCCTTGTGCTCGTATCCAAGGGTAAAAGGAGGGACCCTTAATGGGGACCCCTACCCTATAATGGGCTGTATAACGGGTATATAAATGCCTACAATGGATCTTATAATGTTTTGTAAGGTCGCGGGCTTGTGTTTAGGTGATATCTCGAACCCTCAACCGTAATTCGTTTAGTGGCTTTAGGGCTCTCACCGTGTCTTTTGTGAGGTTGTGATAATTACCCGGCCCGGCCAAGTTTGAAGTCGCGGACCTATCTGTAGTCCCCATCGTTGTTGGATTACAGGGGTAACTACAGTTGTGCCAAGACCTACTGTACATGTCCTGTGGTGCCCGCTCTGGGTGCCCCAACAGAGTTAACATTTTAGGGGTGTCGGAAATTTCTGCAGTGCAGTAACAGACAGTCGGCTTGGCTTGTGGAAAAGCCTATGCTTGTCCTTGCTTGTCTTTCAGGACATTGGCTTTCGCGGCCATATCCCTGCACTTTGGAAGTATCATGGCTGAAGACATCGGTTCCTGGAACCGATCCTTCGTGGAGTAGCGCCTGTGACTTCTGTGGGGTGGCAACCTTACACCCATCGCCCAAAGCTGGTGCCAACCCCGAAATATGAAGGTTGGACTAACATGTGATGGAGCACTCTTCTATAGTTAATATCTGTAGATATATGTATATATATATATATATATATATGTGTGTGTGTGTGTAGAGTACGTTGTACACGTGGGGTTGCTTGTTCATGTTACATGGAAAAATCAGAACAGTCACCAACAAATCTTCTAAGAAAAGGACATCTACATGCAAACTCCGACTTGAAATCTGTTGATGTGCTGATGGTTTCAGGCCAAGGCTTGAGGCTTACACAATCCTGGAAGACTGCGGTTTAGGGTTTAGGGCTTGGGGGCGGTGTTTTGCAGATATTCTAGTTTAGTGACTGCATGCATCGTCTCCAGACTTGAGGTCTTTCAGGCTATGTTACCTTTTGCAAGCGAAGCTTTTTGTTGGCTGCTTGGAGGATCATGGGACTTAGTAAGTAGGGTTACATATAAGTACCTTAATTGGGGTTATACGCGACTACAAGTATAGTTACCTTGATTAGAACCCTACTTACTAAGTCCCCCGACCCTCCAAGGGGAGTGGCATGATCGTCAGGGCTTATAGGGTTCCCCTAGACCTTCAACGGTAGAAGAGCGCAAGGTACATGGACAAGCGGGATTCCGGTGTCGTAACTCTCTTGGACCTACATACGGAGCCTTGCCGAAAGTTTCAGTTTCCTGTGGGATCGCGACTTTGTCGGAGTTTCGCATGTTTAGGGGTTTAGGCTTTTGGGTTTATGGGTTGGGAGTTTGGAGTTTGGATAGCTGGCGAAATAAAATTGAATTGCTGTAAAAGCCTACCACTACATACGAAAGATTGACCGAGACACTAGCCTTCCCGTCTAAGCACTCGTCTAACAGAGGACACTCCCGGAATGGAGAGCGGAGACAGAGAGAGAGAGAGAGAGAGAGAGAGAGAGAGAGAGAGAGAGAGAGCGCGAGAGAGCGAGAAAGCGATAGAGAGAGAGAGACAGAGCGAGAGCGAGAGCTAGAGTCTTAGAGACAGACACAGAGAGACACAGAGACAGAGAGACAGACAGACAGAGAGAAAGAGATGGAGAGATGGAGAGAGACGGCGAGGAGGGGTTGTAGAGTCAAAGGCTCATGGTACGTGCGGTGCTCTCCTTGCCTGGTCCTCGACACTCGAACGCCTGTCAATCCCACATAGATGGTTGGTTGGAGTGGGGGTTTCCAGATGTGAAAGAACTTGCTTGGAGGGTCAGGGGACTTAGTAAGTAAGTATAAGTAATATGTAGACTGTATTATAAGTACCTGTTAAAGGGTCGGTTATGCTATTACAAGCGTATGGGAGAACTACTTACTAAGTCCTCCGACCCTCCGAGTATGCCAGTACATCTCTAGACTCCAAACGCTTGCTTGGACTGTGACTAAGAGCCTGGAGAAGCAGTAGTATGATTGCTCCGGGCAGCATGGAGCTTAGGGTTTGGGGTTTAGGGTTTAGGATATCCCCAACTAATTTCTCATGCTTCTGTATTTGTTCCATGTATGTATGCAGGTCACTGCCATGGAGTTGGCTCGCTTCAAGCTGCTCATCCGGGAACGCTTCAGGCGCACTCAGGGTTTCACGCCTGGAGCCTTAGGGTCAGAGTTGTTGGGGTGTTGGGTGTAGGTCCAGGCCTGAGGTCAGGTTTTGAGTTGCGTTCAGTGTTTAGGGTTTTGAGGGTCCAGTGTTTGAGGTGTGTTGCAAAGCCCGGGACTTCTTCTTTTTGTGTGGCTCACTCTAAACCCTCAGCCCCAGTCCCAAGATGTAGCCTCTACCGAGTTGGTTTAGGTTCCCACTTTCTCGTCCGCAAGAGAGAGAAGAGTCGGATTTTTTGTTGATGATTCTGCAGGGTTCAGGGCCTGGGGTTGTCATCTAACCTTATTTTACCTATGTAGAAGTAACAGTGGACGAAAGCCCAATCACTGGCAGTTTAGGGTAGTTCTTTGATCCCTCACACATCATTTCGCTTCAAAGTTGCTGATCTTGGAAATTCCGCTTTGAATTCGCATGTAATGAATGCTACGTTCATGTATTTGCCTGCTCGAAGAATTTATGAAACATAGACTGTGCAAAGCCGGCCCGCATATCTCAGGGACAGCGCTGCTGAGATGTTCCGCTTTCTGGATGACAACCGCAGTGGCCGTGTAAACCGCGCAGCTCGACAACTGCTACGAGATTGGTGTTTGCAGTTCAAATTGTATAATCATTAAATGAGACTCAATTCGTCCGGTCCCCATTTGGAGAAGCGGAGTCTAGTCTTACATGTCAGCCGACGTCGGGGAGTCCTTCTTGCACGCATGCACAAGTTTTCTTGTCATTCCGTGCCTCTCGAACATCATTCCCTAAACGCCTAAGCACGAACGTCCTGTAAATTACATCAGTTCGTAGGTTTCCGGAAGTGTCAACGTGTGAGGGCGGCAAGTCAGCCTCCTGCCTCGTTTTTCCGACTTAGGTTTAGGGTCTCGGGTTTACGGTTTGTGAATGGGTAGTTGTCAAAAGTCAAAAGTAGGGTTCCTTTTTGGGTCTCCTAGGACCTAGAGTAGGCCCTTATTCCCTTTTTGGGGGGTTCAGGTTCCCTTATAAGCCCCTTCAAACCAAAAAGGGCACCCTTTTTATTCCTCTCTTGGGTCTAGTCTCTAATACAATACGGCACCTAATATTTAGGGTACCCAAAAAGGGACCCTAGTTTTGACAGCTACACGAATACGTAATTCGTCTGTCGGGGGAAATGTGTCTTTCCCCAAGCCCAGGTTTCCAACCGCACAGTAAGAAGCTCCCAGGTATTAAGGACCCAAAACGCACATAAGCATAAGCATCTTATAGGGATATCCCTACCTTATTGGGCTTCGTTTTAAAGGGGTTTTATATGGGATATCCCTACCTTATTCGGCTTCATTATAAGGGGTTTTTATATGGTATATCCCTAGCCTTCTTTTTGCTTATGTGCTTTTTTGCGGCCCTACAGGTAACCTTCTCAGCGCGGCTGCAGACGCTGCACTACCGCGGTGCCTGTGACATACCGGAGACCACTCATTAGGGGCCAGCGATATCATAAGATCATGTGCCCATATGAACGGTAAGGGACGGCTAGGGTATCATTAACGGGTGTGGGTCCAGAGCCCTAAACCCTAAACCCTAAAAGTTCTAGGGTTCTTGGAATGTGTTTCAATGGTTTGGGAATCCCACATTTTAGCCACGTCTTGCTCACTCAGTGCAGCTCGTTAAGCGCAGCTCGAGGAACCAGGTACTTAACATGTGATCGAAAGACGCCGATAGCTATTCTTGCGGGTCGGCTTGTTCCATCTGGTAAGGAAACCGTGAAAGCAGTCACGTTAAGACCAAACCAGCAACCGGTCTGATGTGAGCTTCCTTTGCCTGACCACACGCACGGTTGCGGGCTCCTCCGAAAAGGGATCTGCAAGTTTCGGAAGCACAGACCCTAAGGCTCCATGTGCCCATATAACATGTACTTAGGCTTAAAAGTGCCTATATAGGAACCCCTTTAAGGCCTACAGTAGGAGCCAGAAAGTTGGAATATGATTATCCTAAACCCTTTATGGTAAATTAAAGGGTATCCTACCATGAAACCATATTCCAACTTTCTGGAGTTCCTTTAAGTATATACTCTGACAGGGAAGCACAGACCGAACCGTAGAGAGAGAAAGAGCGAGAGATTCGGAAGCTTACGCCTTGTAAGCCTTGAGGCGCAGATCCCGGAGGCCTCAAAAGGTGGGATGAAGGTAGGTGGGATATTCCCAAATAAGAGTCCTTATATAAGGGATCCTTAATCCTACCTACCTTCATCCCACCTTTTGAGGCCTCCGAAGATCCCGGAAATTGCTACAAATCGTCGGCTCCACCCCAGAAATCCCGACAGGGAGAGACAGAGACGTAGAGGCACCTCTGCCTCACATCTATACTTACTTCAGCAAAGCCAGAATCCTTCAGTTCTGTGTCGCGTTTGCTCTAGGTTTTCGAGATGCGTCGGCTTGTAAGGTATACAGTAGAGGCCGAAAAGTTGGAAACCTCAAAGCCTCAATCCTTAAGAGTAATGTATAAGGAATCCCAGCCAGCGCTATTTGGCCTTAATCCGATTTCCAGCTTTATGTGGTTTACTGTATGCGGGCCTTGGCAATTTGCATAGCAGTATTGGGATTCTTACAGTGTTACAGTTTGAGATTTCGGTGGTACCCTGAGATGGCAAGCCCGAAGTTAGGCCAAGGATGGGGAGTATAGGGGTCTGAGAACTTAGTAGCTTTAAGGTTTTACTCTTCGGAGGCTCTTCCAAACTCACAGAAGCAGTCTCAGGCAAGACTTCCAGCCTCTTCCAGTACCTCGACCGCCAGGGACTGGGTGCCGCTTTGCTTGCAACCAACCGTGGTCTTTTTCGCTCAGCTCTGCTTGAAAGAAGTAAACATACACAACTTACGGATAAAAGACAAGTACATAAGCAAAGCAACACAGACAATGGCGAATACAAGAGCAACAAAGATCGATCGATCTAGCAACTTTTGCATGCTTTCTTATTGTATAATCGTATAACCCTTGGAGCAGTAGCCTCAAATTTGGAAGCTATAACCGAATGTCTGATACCTTGTCATACCTTGAAGAGACGACCAGCAGCAAAACAGAAGCGCAGATGGTCGATCGACAAGCCCTGCCGTACTTGGAATTTCAGTTTAAAAAGTACATGTGAAGTTGGGTTAGAAGTAACTGTAGGTATGGTTAACATATTTATATCTCTAGCTTTTGAGTTCTACGTACCGTTAAGTGCATGATCAATAGTATGTTCAGGGAGCCGTACTTGAAAGGGAGATGCGGTACGTAGGGCTGTGTGGAGAAGGTTTTAATTAAGCCCTTTTGGAGTTTATGCTGTCTCTCTACGCATTCCAACTTTGTCCAAGCAAAGTCGTTTCTTTCCCTTGTAGCCACTGGCAGCTAACTATAACTACAACATGCTGAGGCAAAGAGCATACCAAGTCTCTCCAGCACCACAAAGGATCATGAGTGCCGCCATGGAATCGCCGCACCTTAAGCCTCAAACTCAATCTGTAAACCGCATAGACCCTAAGCCTCACAACCTGCATCTAATGTGGCCCCAAACCCCTAAACCCTACACTCAAAGACTACTGGCCCCATTTGAACATCCAGCTCCAAAACCCAACCACGTGCCCAGATCTTGACGGTACATAGTCTGGCGTTCCTCGACCGCTGGCACCTGCCGCCGTATCTGCCACATGGCCTGTTCACAGACAGTACTCTGCTCGCTCTCTCTCTCTCTCTCTCTGATTCCATTTTCCCCAACTTGTTCTGTTTTCTCCTACGTCCACTGCAATCGCCATGTTTCTCCGTAACCGTAGCTACTTCTCCGCCTCCTCCCGCTCCTCCCACTCCTCCTCCTGGCTCTCCTACTCCTCCTATATACTACCCGTGCACACTACACCTACTACACCTGCTAGTCCTACTACTCCTACTCATCCTGCTCCTCCTGCTACTCCTACCCTGCGCCTGCTCCTACCACCATCACCACCACCACCACCACCACCACCACCACCACGACCACGACCATAAGCAGCGAGCACTTCCACTACCCACTGCTTCTGCACTGCTACCACTACTACTACCACTACTACTACTGCTGCTGCTGCTGCTACTATGCATGTACTACTACTACTACCACGACGACTACGACGTCGACAACGACGACCACGTGCCACTGCTCCTTCGCCACGTGCCACTGCTCCTTCGAATCGACTTACATTATATCCGGGGACATGCCATGTTGCGCAGTCTGTTTCGCGTGCTTACCAGAAGAGCGTTTACCTGGCATGGCGACGGGACGGTATCTGAGGTATTACCAGCCCGATCCGAGCGGCTTGCGTGTGATCAAGGTGGATGAGATGCAAACTCCTAGATAACTGTGCTGAGGGCCAAACGTGTGAAAGCTCTGTTGGATGAATGTCGCTCCATAAACGAAACTGAAGACTTAGGTTCGGGGGTGGGGCCTGCGTGGACGAAGGGTACTAGCTCTGTTGCATTGCACTGCAGTCTCAGAATCATTCATCTGGGTTCTTGGACACTTGGTTTCCTGCACGTGGACTCGAGCTTGCCCTTGCTTCACGATTGGAAGGCCCGGCTCCTATAGCGATCACGACAAAAATAAACATTACCAGCAACTTCTACTGATTTTCAAAAATTGCGTTGATAGCTCCATGTTTCTATAGGGCTTAGGCTAAGGGCATTGACATTGGAAGTGCCCTCTGCAATCACAGTTCTGAGACGGCTGTTTGGCATCTCAGTGCAGCGGCTTTGCAAGCATTCCTTTGCGGCCGACGCGAAGAAAATGAACCCCTAAACCGGATATAAACGATTCCGGCTCAAAGGCCAGAAGCGATGAATCCTAAAACCGGCGCACAGCCTCGATCCTAAACGACACGAGAATTAGGGTGCACACTCTACGGATCATATCTGCGAATCCAACTCTAGGTGAAGCACCCCAAAGATCCTTGTTACAACTTTAATTAATGCCCATACAGGGAACTCCAGAAAGTTGGAATATGGTTTCAGAGTAGGATACCCTATAATTTACCTTAAAGGGGTTACGATAATGATATTCCAACTTTCTGGCTTCTACTGTATGGCAACCTCCTCGAAATTAGGTATAAGCGGTAGACGGGCGTGGCAGGCAAAGTTACTGGAGCTGCACAAGTATGCGCTCATTGCGTGGCGCAAGATCGACAAGGACCTGAGAAATATATTGAGCTTCATAGTTTTTGTTAGGGTCTTATCATGAGGTGTCTTATAGGATGTTTCTTGGTACGGTCTTCTATGTTGTACGGCACAGACCCAGTGCCAATATTTTTAGCCCTAAACCCCTCCCCTTGTCCTTGTATCTGATAATCCTCAACCCTTCGCACCAAAGCCTCTCAAAGCGAAGCTCGCCGCGCTTGCACGATATAGAGGCCTGAATGATTAGAAAGAGCCCCTGGGGTCCCAATAATAAGGTACTCGGGTTTAGGATAGTAGTTATGTAAGTTCATATTTGGGAGAGTGTATGACTACTTGGTTCTTGGAATTTTGGGGGAGGTTTTGGGGCGTATGGTGGTGTAAGCTTTGTTACAGGTGGTATAATTGCACATATTCTGGAGGGTGGGTAGCACAAGGCTTCTAAGGCTCAGGGTCTAAAGATTCAAAACACGCTGGTTTGTGTTCTTCCGAACTGACTACAGTACGAGCTCTGTAAGTTTTGTCAAAACCCTCTACTCGTCTTATGTCCAAAAGTCTTGTGTGTTCCGTGTGAAAATTGTCCTACTCCATTTAATTCGAACAAACACTGCAGTATTGCTGTGTAAGTCCTGGGCATGCTGCAGCCAAGCAAGTGCTGCGTCTTCTGTATCAAGACACCTTACTCATATTAAAGACTCCAACAGACTGTGCGATATGGTCGTAGGTTTTGGGTGTTCTGCACCAAATCATCCTGCTGGTGTTAGTTCGAATAGACGATGTTACCATGTGAGTCGTGGCTGCTCTGCATCCAAACCCCCCTATTACTGCCCTGACCCGGCTCGTTCTCGGACGGTTACCACCTTTGAATCCCTGAACCAACACAAACTAGGATGCCCAGTAGTACCCTTATTCCCTTTTTGTAGTCCTAGGTTCCTTATAAAGTTACCCAATACTAAAAATTAGGCAACACAAGCATTTGGGTCAACCTGTGTAAGCCCGAACACGTTAGTTCTAAACTCTAAGCGCCCAAATTCCCAGACGTTTGTGCTACTTTAAGGCTTAAGGCCCTACGTATGTACTACATGGGCACGTGGACCCTTAGGGATTGCACAAATCAGCTTCGCCTGCTGGAGTTTATAGGATTTAGGGTGCACCCGGCAGGTCGCGCAGAGTTTAGGTGTGTAGGGCTCTGAGAGTATCACGCACTGTATTGGGACTCTTGCAATTACATACCCCAAGGGTGTCCAAATGCCTTGATACTGTGGAGCACGACGCTGAGCCTGAGATCTCAACCCTATAAGCTATGGTACCCCGAACGCACAACCCAGCACCAAACCTGACCCAACGGCGCAGGTGGCCTTAGGAGGTTCGGGTTTAAGGCTTAACTCTCCTATGCTTCGAGGACTGCAGCATGCGGATCTCCTATGTTACTTAGCGTGTATTTCAGACTCCCCGGTGGTCATGACTTCGGGTTTAGGGGGGGTCGAGGGTTTAGGGACGGCCCTATTCCTCAGGTCCTTGGTTCGGATAGCGGATAGTGTTGATATGTTTCCAAGAGGGTCTATAGACTGATCGTTTCGGGCCCAGTTCCATAGTAGTATAGTGTCTTTGGACCCTCTGGGTTTGTTCGTATTGCCTACAGCTTCTTCTATAGTCTTCGGTGCAGTTCGTTTTTGCGGTTATCTTATAGGGTCCTCAATACAGATTCAATCGATTCGACTAGAAGCAGGAACTACAATGGGGACTCTAGGCAGCGAATGTTGCCCAAGACGGACCATCACGAACCAGGGAATCGACACAGATGCAGGAAAGGGTTTTGGGCCGAGGGACATGCTGATCCGGTTCCGGCAGCTAGAAATCAGAAGCTCATGTCTTTAGGGCTCAGGATGAAAGATGATGAGCCGATGAACCCAAACACCAAACCCTAGAACGACTCCGGACTCATCATCTGCAGCTGCGAGCCCGTGGTGTGGCTTGCAGATTTTGAACTGACCCGTCCCGACATGCTCTGGATTGCACCTCCTTCGTCCTTACGACGAATGGAAGCTAAAGATGCTTCAGGAGAATACCTGCAACCATGTTACGCATAGTTGTCAAGGAACCTCCAGGCAAACAGACCCACTATGTAAACTGTAAACCTTTCAACTTTACCTTTTCCCCGAAAACGAAGCCCACAAATACGACACCAAGGACGAGTTCAGAAATTACTGGGCAGACCTGCTCACGAATAACAAGGCAGGTGCATAAGACCCTTCTGTCGCCGCACGTTCCGCGAAGGTTCAGGGCTAGGAATTTCGGATTTGGGGTTAGGGCCTTAGGATGCTGGATGTGGGGTTCCAGGATCGGGATTTGATCTATACTTCAAGCTTCACGGGTGGCATGAAGGTATCTACAGTCTTGCATCGTTGCCAAACCTTGCTCCATATTGCGTAGGTGCACGACAGCACGGGAAGCACGACAAGGCATCTGCATCCAACACCAGACCCCTACACCGTTAACCTCAAGCCCTGAACTTTCAATCGGAGACAGACTACTTAAAGGGTCATGGGACTTAGTAACTAGGGTTGTAATCAAGGTAACTCTGCTTGTAATTACCTAATGACTCCCAATTACTGTGGATCCTTGCTGTGATTATGTAGATGTCCTTTAGGGTTTAGGGTTTCCCTAAGAGAAGTATACTTTACAATATCACCGGAACTTTGAAAGATTATAAACCCCTTCGTGGAGTCTCTGGGCTGCAAGGCCGTGGCTGCGCAAGCCGCGAACCTTCCCCGATCAGCTACCTAGCTTGAGTTCAGGGTTTAAGATTTTGGGGGTTATGGTTTAGGGCTCGGGGTTTAAGGGTCAGGGCTGAGGGTTTAGGGTGCTCGGGCTGTTATGGATCAGATCAGGATATTCAGTGGGTATGGGGCTCGGGACTTGGGCGTTTAGGACCACAATCTCTCTCTTTCTCTCTCTATCTCTCTCTCCGTCTCTCCCTATATGTCTCTCTCTATTTGTCTCTGTCTATGTCTCTCTCTCTCTCTCTCTCGCTCTCTCTCTCTCTCTCTCTCTCTCTCTCTCTCTCTCTCTCGTCTCTCCCTATATGTCTCTCTCTATTTGTCTCTGTCTATGTCTCTCTCTCTCTCTCGCTCTCTCTCTCTCTCTCTCTTTCTCTCTCTCTCTCTCTCTCTCTCCGTCTCTCCCTATATGTCTCTCTCTATTTGTCTCTGTCTATGTCTCTCTCTCTCTCTCGCTCTCTCTCTCTCTCTCTCTCTCTCTCCGTCTCTCCCTATATGTCTCTCTCTATTTGTCTCTGTCTATGTCTCTCTCTCTCTCTATCTCTATCTCTCTCGCTCTCTGTCGCTCTCTCTCTCTCTCTCTCTCTCTCTCTCTCTCGCTCTTTCTCCCTCTAAGTCTTAAACGTTCTCTAACCTGCGTTTTAGATTGTAACCTTGATGGGAGAAGGCAGTGAGGTTGTGGGTGTTGTAGGCAGTTTCAGGGTAGATAGTGTGTGGTGTGAGGTTAACCCCGGCTTTGGGTTGATCGGTTTAGGGCTTAGTAGCGGTTTGGGATTTCAAGTTTTTGTGCTTCGTTTAGTTGGTTAGTAGGGAATGAAGGAATGGGATACAATTATAATAACTATTACTACCATTCTTCCATTCCCTACCCTAAGGGTGGTTGAGGGGTCTGTCACTTGAGGCTTTGGGATTTCGAGGCTCAGTAACAGTTGCATAATATTCATAATATAGATATATAAGGCCCTTAATAGTAGCCCAATTATAGACTGTTACTGCATGCGGGCCGTACCCAAGGTCTGTCATTTGAGGGTTTTGGGATTTCGGGAGGCATCGCCCTGAAGCATGAAGAGAAAATTAAGTTTTAGGGGTTAGGGGGTAGGGTTTAGGGTTTGTACCCTTATAGTAGATACTTAGGCCTTAAAGTACCTATATAGGGACCACTTTAAGGCCTAAGTATCTACTATAAGGGTACATGGAGCCTTAGGGGAGCGGAAAAGACCGTTGGTGCAAGACCTCCAAGGCCCCCCCGAAACGCTAAACTCCAAAACCCCTCAACCCTCAATCGTGGCTTGGGGCGGCAGGCCGGTTTCGTTAGTTTTTAGTTTTTATTTTTTTTTTTGCGGTGCAGGTTTCGAACTAGTTCGACGAACGTTCGATGTTGGGAGGTACCTCGTGTTGCCAAATGGGGCGGACCCGTTAAGGACCAAGGAGGTGCCCCGCACAATTTTCCGAACCTTATTGTAAGGGTTTAGGGTTTAAATCCGGGTTTAGGGTAAAACCCTATCCTGATAGTTACAAGCATTCTAAGCCACTGTCAGCCCCAGTGTTTAATTCAGGAGCACCTGATGTTGCGAACACATGGAAGCCCGCTACGCCCTGAACCAGTAAGTCCCTAATCCCTAAGCTAAACCCTAATCCCGATTCCCGAACCCTAAAGGCGCTAAAGCCCTAATTCCCTAATCCCAAACCGTAAAGCCCTAATCCCAAACCCTAAAGCCCCAATCCCGAACCCTGAACCGTAATCCCAAACCCTAAAGCCCTAATCCCTGTACCCTAATTTTCAAATCCTAAAGCCTTAGTCCCAAACCCTGAACCCTAAACCCTGAAGCCCTACTTGGGGGATCATGGGACTTAGTAAGTAACGTTATAAGTACCCTAGTTGGGGTTATAAGTAGTTATAAGGTTTATAAGTATAGTTACCCAAACTATAACCTTAGTTACTAAGTCCCATGACCCTTTTAAGTATTCCCCTAAACCCTATAAGCCCTAAACCCTTTGTAGATCCCTTATAGATCCCTTTAAAGGAACCCTTATAGAACCCTACATCACAACCCTAGTTACTAAGTCCCATGACCCCTTTAAGTAGAGCCTAAACCCTATAGAACCCTATAGATCCCTTTAAGGAGCCCCTATAGATCCCTTTAAAGGAACCCTTATCTAAACCCTAAACCCTATAGATCCCTTAAGGAACCCCGATAGATCCCTTTAAAAGAGCCCTTTAAGGAACCCTGGTTACTAAGTCCCATGACCCCTTTAAGTAGACCCTATAAACCCTAAACCCTTAAAGGGAGGCTAATTATAGAACCCTATAGTACCCTTTAAAGTAACCCTTAAAACCCTAGTTACAAGTAAGTCCCATGACCCTTTAAGTAGACCCTACTCCTTATAGAACCCTTTATGGATCCCTTTAAGTACCCCTTTAGGTAACTAAGTCCCATCAGCCTTGAAGTAGACCTTAAACCCTAAACCCTATAGATCCCTTTAAGGAAGCCTTATAGATCCCTTTAAAAGAGCCCTTATAGGAACCCCTATAGATCCCTTTAAAGGGACCCTAGTTACTAAGTCCCATGACCACTTTAAAGATACCTTATAGATCCCTTTAGAGGAACCCTTATAGAACCCTACATTAGAACCCTTTAAGCCTAAACCCTAAACCCTACGCCCATGACCCCTTTAAGTAGAGCAAGGAGAGCGATGTGGCATCGGCTTGGAGGGCCATGGACAAGGTGCCCCACTTAAAGGGTCATGGGACTTAGAAAAAAGGGTTCCTTAAAGGGCTCTATGAAAGGGATCAATAGGTGTTCCTGAAAGGGATCTATAGGGTTCAGGGTTTAGGGTCTACTTAAAGGCTCATGCGACTTAGTAACTGGGGTTATGGTTAAGGTAGCTATACTTATAATTATACTTATAACCCCAATTGAGGTACTTATAACCCCACTTACTATGTCCCATGAGCCTCCAAGCATTCCAGTTAGCCCGCCATTCTAAATTGGGTGGTTGTCAAAGTTAGGGGCCCTTTAAAGGGATCTATAAGGGATCTATAAGGGATTTAAGGTTTTAACTCAACATCATATGGGTGGTTCTCAAAATTAGGGTCCTTTTGGGGGTCCCTATTATAGTACGGCACCTATTATTTAGGGTACCCAAACAGGGACCATAATTTTGACAACCGCCCAATTATTAGTTAGGGTTTAGGGTAGTAGTGGTCGGCGTGACCCTCGGAGTAGTCGTGGGAGTAGGAGTAGAAGCAGTAGTAGCAGTAGTAGCGGTAGTCGCAGCAGTAGCAGTGGCAGCAGTACAGCAGTCGCAGCAGTAGCAGCAGTAGCAGCAGTACAGACATTAACAGCAGCAGCATCAGTAGCAGCATCAGAAGCAGTAGGAGTAGCAGTTGCCGACGTCGTAAGTAAGGTTATAAGTAAGGTTATGATTAGGACAACCCCACTTAGGGGACTCAGAATACCTCCAGCTATAACTGCTATAGCCCTATACCTACTACGTGCCCCGAGCCCCTTCAACTACACCAGTTCCTAAACCCCAGCATTAAACCGTGAGAATCGCTAGGCCACAAAACTCGAAGGCCATAGACCCTAACATGAAAACCTTGGTCGGGATTTTCTGGGATGATCACAAGTATCATGCCTATCGTGTTTGTTTGTCTTGCATTAGATTTGCTTCATGTTGCTATCTCAACATGAAAGCCGTTATTATAAAAAAGGAGCGCGAAAGCAGGACCAGTCCTATGAATGCACGGGCAAAAGGAGGGACCCTTAATAAGAACCCCTAGGTATATACCCTTAATATAGCTATGATATACCCATTATATAGCCCCATTATAGGGTAGGGGTCCCCATTAAGGGTCCCTCCTCTTTTGCTTTGAATGAAAGCACAGCTCTAAGCAGGATTGCTCTGGCTACATTCAACTTCGAGACTGGGACTACGATAGCCACAAGCACCTGGCAGAGTTCAAGCAGTGGGCAGACAGGCCCGGGTTTAGGGATTAGTCTTTTAGGGTTTTAGGGTTAAGGGTGGTTTCGGGTTTTAGGATTTGCGGTCTGCCTAGACCTTCAAGAACCTGCATTCTTAAGGAACAATGTGAAGAAAACATAGCAAGGGACAATAGAAAGGTGGGTCTAGTAAGGTTTCTGGTAGATATGCCTTGAGCGCGAACGCACCGAAACTTATAGCCGTAAATTTGAGGGTTCAGGAGGGTTCGCAGATTATTTGCGGCCTAAGGCGGACTCCAGAATCTTACCCATAACAATCCGCACCAAGAAGACATTGAGCTTCATAAAGCCCTTTACGCCCGAGCAACCTGCCATTGTGAAATTGGAGCCGAACGGTTAGGTGAAGCCTGTTCTCTAAGACTTCAAGCGTCCCTGAACCCTACCTTTAGTCTCCATTGCAGTATCTCTTTTGGGTTACCTGATAGGATCCTCCATATAGATATGGTTAAACAAAAAAAGGAACTACAATGGAGACTATAGATAAACCCCAGACCGTTTAAACCCTAAACCGTCTCTCCGACCTGCCGCCTGCCCAAATGGGCTTTTCAGACGCTTTCTGCAGATCGAAAAGAGGCCCTTAAAAAAAAAACAAAAAAAACAACCGTCGAGAGATTTCAGGGCTTTGCTCCAAGGTTTGCGGCTCCCGGCCTTGACAAATTTGGAGTCTGGTCAGGGCTTCCATCATTCAGGGGTTTACGGGCTTCCAGGACCTGGAGTAGGCCCGTATTCCCTTTTTTTAGGGGTTCAGGTTCCCTTACCAGCCCCTTTAAACCAAAAAGGGGCACCCTTTTTGTTCCTGGGTTACTCTTGGGTCTAGGCTTGCGGTTCGGGGTTCAAGTGAGTTGACCGGGTTTAGGGTTTAAGGTTTTAGAGTTTGTAGGGTTTAGGGGCTCAGGGATCGGGGAGGTTTAGGGCATAAATATGTCTTCTGGGATGTCGGGTTAGGGCTTGGGGTTTGTTTCGATGTGCCCGGTTTTGGGCACACGGTCTGCTGAGGCGTCTTGGCAAGAATCTGAGAATTGTCAGGTTCCGGTAGACGCTAGATGGGAGTGTCAGAAAATTCACGGTACCTTATTTGGGGTCCTTATAATAAGGATCCTACTAGTCAGGGGACTATATTAGGATCCCCCATGGTCGGAAACCCCCAGATCCTCAACTCCTAAGCCCCACAGCAGAGAACCCAGCCTAGAACCTGCAGCTGGAACTTTAAACCCCAAACCCCTCCCCAGAAACCCCTAACTTATCCTAGCCCTAAGGGTTCAAGTACCTAATAATCATATACTCTCCAAAATCCTAACCTACATAAGTACTATCCTAAAGCCGAGTACCCAATTATTGGGTCCTTTGGACCCTTGGGGGTAGCTTTCCAACCGCAAAACGCACCCAGCTCAAACCCGGGGTGTTGGAAGAGTCGGGCTTATTGGGTTTAGGGTTTTAGGGTTTAGGTTTTTTAGGGTTTTAGGGTTTAGAGTTTTAGGGTTTAGGGTTTAGGGTTTTAGGGTTTAGGGTGTAGGGTTTAGGGCTTAGGGCGCTTAGGCTTAGGGTTTCAACTCTGGCGATTACCCAGCAGCCCTGCCTGCAACAAAGCAGGGATCGTGCTACTCATGATGATGTAAATCCTGCATTACCTGAATGACCCTAGACTATAGAAATTATCGTATATGTTCCTTATCATGGGTAATGCAGGTTTTATATCGTCCACCGTAGGACCTGTAAAATGAGGCCTTTGGATGTAGGCTCCAGTTCAGTGTTTGCGGTTCGGGTTGAAAGGTGCGGGATTTCAGCATGGGGCACTGTAGGCCAGTTGAAGGAGACCGTTACATAAGCAGTACCGACTCCTAAAACCTGCACGGGCATTTTCTATGAGTACCTTGTATAGTGGTCATCGCAATCAGGATCCCACGCGTTGGATCTGTAGTAATACGCATCAGATAGCACCAGTGTTCCTTATTCTCTGATACCCCCACATGACATCCTCAAATAAATCTGTGACAGCGAGAGCTCCGACCTCTTCCAAATCCAGAATTGGCCCCGCAAATTTCCAAAACCTTCACCCGCCCCCTGTCCCCAGGGTCCACGGCAGTGCAGCTCGGAACAAGCAGTCATAATTTGTTATTTCGTTGTCTCTTCTCTCGCTCTCTCTGTCTCTCTGTCTCTCGCGTGTTTTCTCTCTCGCGCGCTCTCTCTTCTCTCCCTCTCTCGCTCCGTCTCTGTTCTGTTCCTTTCTATTTATTGCTCTCTTTGTCTAACTGTTTCTTGTTTGTTTTGCCTTCGCCACTTCAAACAAAGTTCGCAGCTCTCTGCCCATTCTGCCCACTGGTTCTTCCAGGCCTTCGGGCATGAGCTTAAAACCCTCATTACCTAGAGGCTCATACCCTACCCCTATTTTAGGATACCTAATTTTATGGTTAGGATCTGTTATCTTAAAAAGTAGGCGCCCTAAAAAAGGGGTAGGGTATGAGCCTACAGGTAACCCACCAGACCTGAATTAAACATGTTTTGTTTTTAACGTTAGGGTTTTACGCTCCTGAACCCTAAAACCCTAAACCCTAAACCCCAAAGCCCTATGTCAATCCTGAAGTCCACTCCGGTTGATGATCATGATATACATCCTGCATTACCCCTGATAAGGAACATACCGTTATTCCCATACTACTATTTGCTTAAAAACCACCAAAAATAAGAAAAGTATATTCCTTATATATGGGGGTAATATAGGGATTATTATTTTTTGGGGTGGTTTCTTAAGCAAATAGTAGCATAGTTTAGGATCCTGAAGGTAATGCGGGGTTCAGGGCTTTGGTTCTCCAGGGCCTAGTAGGGTACTTAAAGGGTCATGGGGCTTAGTAACTATGGGAGTACTTAGGTAACTATACATATGATTACTAATAACCCCAACTAAGGTACTTATAACCTTACTTAAAAACATCCCATGATCCTCCAAGTAAGTAACCTTTAACTTCCCCTAAGGGTCCAAGTACTCAATAACCATATACCCTCCCAAATAGTAACCTACATAACTAACATCCGCAACCTGAGTACCTAATTATTGGGTCCTTAGGACCCTCAGGGTCTTTTGGGATACTATAACCCAGGCCCTGTATAATCCCAATGTGCTCCCAAAGGTTAGCCTTCAGTTGGCAAGGATGCTGGACAAGTCGGAATAGCGTCTCTTGGGGTTTAGCTCGTGGGGTCGGTTTAGGGTTTAAGGGTCAAGCCTCTTAAGCGGCTACGGCTGGAGGTTGAAGGCGGTTTTCGGTTTGAGGTCTAGGGTTCAGGGTCTAGGGTTTTAGGGTGTTTTCATCATAGTTGCAAGAGAAGCACTGGCCTAGTCTTGTCGTCCCTCATGTTGAGAAAGCAATCTTGGTTGCTTGTGCTTGTGCCTAGCGCAAGCTTACATAAGGGATTAGGGTTTTGGTTACGGGACTATGGTTCATGGTTTCCCTTAACCCTACATCCTAAACAAATCCTATAAACCTCAATACACATCAGTACATCCAGATCGTTGAAGCCGTTGACGTCAGCTTATCATTTAGCGGTTTGGGCCCGTGCAATTTCTACACTGTTACACTCCACTTGAGGTTGTGGCCGCGTTTCGGGCGCTGGATGTGGGCGGCAATGGAGTCACCTCCAACTGCGGCTTGCAATGATAGTCCCAAGACCTTGGACCCAGAGCCCTCAACTCGAAAACCCTACAAGGCTGGACGTTTTGCTGCTTATGGTTTAGAGATCCAGATTCGAGTTTTGTTTGTTAGGGCATGGTTTGAGGGTGTTGCGGTTTAGGCTTCAGGATTGAATGGCTCAGGGCTTAAACGTATAGGGTTGCCTGTGTCGGGATACATCAGATTCCTTCAGGACAAAGAGTTAGCCAGCCGCCCTACACCACAGGCTTTGCTTGTGGCCCCTGACCCTGCAAGACAGTACCTGGTCACTTCATCATTAGAGGGTAAAGCCTGTAAAGTCGTACCCCTTAAAACAGTAAGTTGTTTGCACCCACAGGTACACGTTTACAGCTTGTAGTCTCAACACCCCGCCGAACATCAAGAACATCAGCCGTCCCATCTACAGGCAGCCGTATTCGCACACACAGCATCACGCACTTCGGACAGGGATACTGGCATAGCTTTCAGCGCTCTCCACCCTCAACCATGTAATAAGCCATGGTAAACCCTAATCCCATTACCTTAAGGACTCTAAACAATGGGAATTGTGGTATATTCCTTATTATGGGTAATGCAGGATTTATATCATCAACCGTAGTCCACCTCCCACCTCGGTCTGGAAGCTTGAAACTCCCTGAAATGTTCCCAGGCAGGCTTTCCGAGACCGAGCTCAAGCCGCTTGTGCCCGAAGATGTCTTCAGCACAAACCCTACCCCTAAGGGTCCATGTACCCAAATAGGGTTCCTATAAGGGTTCCTTTAAAGGGTTCCTAAAAGGGTTCTATATAGTTAAGGGTTTGGGGTATAAGGGTCCATGTACCCAAATGGTATATACTTTGGGCCCAATGTACCTATATAGGGACTACATGCAGGCCAGCGTATATACCATTTGGGCATATGGACCCTTAGGGTAACAAATCTCAAGCTGCTTGAATTTCGAGGCTTACCTACGATCTCCAACTACGGGCATTAAAGGCCCTAAACCCTAAACCCTGAACCCTAAACCCTAAACCCTAAACCCCACATTTTTGACCATATTTCCGGACCTTATGGGCTTTATTACCGGATACTTTGGGGGTTCCCGGTAGGGTCAAAAGTTTCAGTTTTACCAGCTTGGTGTTCGGGGTGAGAGCAGGAAAGCTAGATGCCCAGTAGTGCCCTTATTCCATTTTTGTAGTCCTAGGTTCCTTATAAAGTTACCCAATACCAAAAAGAGAGGCCTTTTTATTCTTAAGTTACTGGGTATCCTAGTCGGGGTGAGAGCAGGAACGTGTTCGAAATTTGTCGTGCGGTTCCGATCCCGGGGCCTGGGTCGGGCTCTCGGATGTGTGGAGGCTGCTCAGGTACTTGATGATATAAATCCTGCAGTAGCTTAAGGACCCAAAACTATGGGAATTGTGGTATATTCCTTAAAATGGGCAATGCAGGATTTCTATCATCAACCGTATTGTAGGGTTTACCACCCATGTCCCGAGGTTTTTGGGATCAGACCGGTCCCTAGTAGTAGAGTAGGTAACCTTTAACCTTTTTGGCGTAGTATAGTCCCTATTTAACCAAAAAGGTGAACCTTTAGTTCCTCATGATACCCGACAAGTAGGGGTCATTCAAAAAAGATTGCAAAAGGTCGTACTGCTAATGGTGTTTTGTTTCCCTAACGGTCCACGCAGCCGTCAAGTTTATTTACAGCCTTGAAGTACCTATGTACGTTTGCGCCCGAATTGGGCCAACGTATACACTATGAGTCCCAACCCCCACGCCCCAACCCTGTATAAAACCCTAAACCCTAAACCCTAAACCGTAGGGGACATGCACCCTGAGGGATTCAGAGACCAAGCTGAGAGTCCTTGCCTAGGAGGTGCACCAAAGGGGACCGCCCGTGCAAGGCACACATGGGATTTTGGGACCTCGAGGGTTCAGGGTATAGGATTCAGGGTTGGGGTTTAGGGTCTATTTGGAGGATCATGGGACTTAGTAAGTAGAGTTATAAGTACCTTAATTGGGGTTATAAGTAATTATAAGTATAGTTACCCTACTTATAACCCCAGTTACTAAGTCCCATGATCCTTTAAGTAGGGTTTAGGGTCTAGGGTTTCGGGTTCAGGGTTTAGGGAGGGTTAGATGTGATTGGGGTTTAGGGATCCGCGTCGGATATTTCATCACTGAGGATCCGCGTCGCTGGATAATTGTGCTACGACCCAAGCTGTCCTAAGTAAGTATATAATAGAATGTGTGGTGTCTTTCTTAGGAACTACAATATGATTTGGGGACATATCCCCCCAGAACAGTAATTGCCGAGGACCGGTTGGGAAGGATTGTAGTATGTGTATATATATATATATATATATTGGCTAGTTTGTACGTTCATGGCTCTGCTTTCGGATGCACCCGCAAGCACCTGGAAGGCTGGTTCGTTTAATATTCAGACTATCCGGAGCGGCTCCAATCCCTTAGGCTCCATATACCCATACAGTACATCCTTAATTAGGCCTTAACATACAGGTACTTTTAGGCCTGAGTATATACTATATGGGCACATGGAGCCTCAGGGAATTACCTTCCACCTTGGGTCGGGGAGCGCATGATATATACTTGGATATATGTAGACCAATGCACTCAATTCGATTATGTGCCATGTGTTCCTGGCCCATTCTTCTAAATCTCTGTACCCTACTATGCCATACCTTCTTGTCCTGTAGTATTTTTATCATAGCTTGCATACAGCTGCCTGGGCTTTAGCTCAGGATACGAAGACCATGTAGAGGCCAGCAGGTTTATCCCTTATAGACCTTAGTTTAATTACTAAGGGCCCCATCTCTGGGTGGTTTGGGGACAGTTTTAGGACTTTGGTGGTGTGCTATGCGGGTTTAGCAAACAACCGTAGCCTAAACCCGACCCTAAGGGTCCTAACACTTTGGGGAAGCTCAAAATGTAGGATTCCTGAAGCCCCAACGAGACCCAAGGGCTCTCCCTAGGAGATTCCGGACCCTCCCAAGGAGATACCTGGACCCTTTGGGTAAACCCTAAAGTTAAAGCCACTGCGACTCGGGGTCTACGTAGTGATGAGCTCGAGCAGAGGCTGATGTGGAGTTCCTCTTCGATGGCCTGGATGTGACTTGGTCTTCTTCTGGTTGGCTCATTATAGGACTTTTTGGCTCTTAAGTTTTTAACTTTTTGGGGGTTTCTATATGGAGTGAATATAGGCTAACAATTTAGCTCGTAGGAGGGGTTCATAAGTCAGCCAAGGTCAAGAAGCAGAATTTTTTGTCTGAGGAAGATGTCAAGTTCCTTGATAACTGGGCGCCTCGGACTCAACTGCGATGTGGGTTTCGTAGGAGGACCGTTCAACAACGGGTCGAACCATAGAAGGATTTGTAGTGGGTTGTTCCCATATGACGGCTGCAGTGCCAAAGCTGCTGCTGTACCGTGCGAGGCCTTCTGTTGCAATTCCCTCTCGAACCACTTTGAATCTTTACAGTAAACCCCATAAAGTTGGAAACCGGGTTAAGGCCAAATAGTGCTGGGATTCCCTATACATTAGTCTAAAGGATTGAGGCTATTGGGTTTCAAACTTTCTGGCTTCTACTGTAGGGTGTATCAACAGGAACTTCAAGGCTCCTTACAGTTTGGTATTGGGCAAAGGGTTTAGGGTTTAGGGGTTTAGGGTTGAGGGTTTAGGGTTGAGGGTTTAGGGTTTAGGGTTTAGGGTTTAGGGTTGCGGATCTTGTTGGAAGCCCCCCCCCAGCAGTAAACAGAAGGCTGGAAATCCAGCGTTTCGCCTAGTTTGATGTGCACTGCTTTAAAAAATTGTCAAGAACCTCCTAAACCCAGGACCCTGTGTAATCTTGAGTGTTGAGGGACTCATAGGTGTCCTAAGATCCTAGTTACCCAAGTTGCCCATATCGTGGGGGCACAGGGTGTTTCAGGATCTACATTGGGCTTTTCGGACAGTGGCTCAGTATAGTATAGGGGTCGAAGCAATTGCGAATTTCATACTTGTGGCTCCTGATCATAAGTTTGCAATAAATTTCCACCAAGATCCTAAACCCTGACGAACTTGAAGCGTAGATGCTTCATGTACCCAATGCACCATCTGTGTACCTGGACCCCTAGGTAGTTTGAACTGGCTGGGCACCGGATTTCAGAAACCCTTCGGCCTTTGAAGCCCAAAACCATAAGCCTTAATTAAACCCTAAACCCTAAACCCTAAACCATTAACCCTAAACCCTAAACCCTAAACCGTTAATTAAACCCGCAGCAACCTGAGGACTTGTCATGGGAGGAGTGGCAGGAAGGAGCCTCGCAGACAAGACGCCGCTTGAGCGTCTCCACCTGAGGCTTCGGCTCTTTCCGACTGAATGTAGGTCTTAGTGCGTTCAGCAGTGCGATCCCGCACAAGGAGGATACAACGTTGTCCTCTGCCAGCTTGGGCCGTGCGGATTTGTTTCGTGTTCATGTAGGTTCACAGTCCGGAGCCCTGAGTTCCTGCTCAGATGTTCTCATATGTCTAAACCCTTTCTTGAGCCCTAATCCCTATGTAAACCCAGATGTCGAGACCCGAACCCCTTTCTGCTTTCGGGTGTACTGCTCATATCAAACCCCAGGGTCCGAGTGCATACTCAGAATCTACTTTAGTTTATTCAGTCGAGTAGGCAACGGAGAAGAACCGACAATGGCAACTGGCCATTTTCTTCTTTTCAGAAATGCGTGTGTGTGTGTGTGTGCGCAGTTGCAGTTGGTTTCTATACTCACGTTTTTTGAAAAGTTATAGAGCTGTAAAGCACAGCAGAATGAGGGTCAGGTATTTTGCAGGGCGCAAGGGTTCGGGTTTGGTGTCCATTCACAGCCCAAGAGGCCCAAGTGTCTTCTACCGAGCTTCCCTGAGGGAAGTTCTTGCTGTTCCAGTGAGTACAACATGGGAGCTCAACACTGCCAGGATCCATTTTTCATTCAACGCTTTCAGCGTTGAAGGTTAGGGAAACGAATTTGCCATGTTCTCGCGATCTTAAGGTCTGCGATTGCTGATGTTGTCACTCTCGACATGTACTTGCTCTCTCTCTCTCTCTCTTTTTCTCTCTCTCTCTCTCTCTCTCTCTCTCTCTCTCTCTCTCGCTGCCTCTCCCTCTCCCACACCCCCAAGCCTCAACCCCAGCCCCAAATGCAAGCCCTCAACCCCAAGCCACGCACTCCTGGATCCCAATACTCTAACCCTGAACCCAGCCCTGAACCCTAATGATGTCTATACCCTGAGCTCTCGACCCTTAACCATCAACTCCAGGATGCCCAGTAGTACCCTTATTCCCTTTTTGTAGTCCTAGGTTCCTTATAAAGTTACCCAATACCAACAAGAGAGGCCTTTTTTATTCCTGGGTTACTGGGTATCCTAGTCTTGATGAACCCTAAACGCTAAACCCGAAACCCTGAACCCGAAACTTCGACCCTCCTAAAACCCTGAGGTGCAGACTATAAAACGCCTAAAGCATGGACCCGAAACCCATGGATCCTGGCTTGGACGAGCTGCCCATCCTATAGTCTCCATTGTAGTTCCTTTTTTGGTTTAACCAATTCTATATTAGGGATCCTATAAGGTAACCCCAAAAAGGAACTACAATGGAGACTATAGGGTCAACTTGCCGAAGATCGGTTCGAAAAAACGTCCGAAGCACGGGTAGAGGGTTTCGGAATGTTTCGGGTTGAAGGCGAGCTTCAATGAGTACGGGCTTATATGGCTGGTTGTCAAAATTATGGTCCCTTTTGGGGTGGCCTAAATATTAGGTGCCGTACTATAATAGGGACCGGGTTTACACGTGATTTGGGGCATCATGTAAAGGTTCTCGAGAGCCCTGCACTTGTTGTGATGTCAGAGAGATTCCTGGAACTCAGAGGGCTTCCTCCTTCTTATACAACCATACCTGGACCCCAAAAGTATGTAGAATAATAGCCTTTTATAGGCTTTGGGCCATTAAGTTATTTACGTTTGGGGGTCTAGGTAGAGGTTTCCTTGAGGATGTGAGGAACCAGGCTCAGGCATTGATTGTGGGTCTGGGATGGGAATTCTCTAGGTCGTAATTGGGCGATCTGTTAATACTCCGTCCTGTGTTCAGGGTTAAGAGTTTAGGGCTTAGGGCATATGTGGTGCCTCATCCGAGGATCTTGTTGTTGAGGGTTTTGTGGTTTCTGAGCCTCACCTCCTATGGTGGACTTGTACAGTTTAAGTCCACCTTGGAGGGCTGTGATTTCCGGGTAGGACGTCAAATCTTCCAAACTCCTTTAATCACGGAATAGATACCTTAAATCATGTTAAGGATCCCTGCTATAATCAGGGTTTAGGGTTTAGGGTTAAGGGTTTAGGGTTTAGGGTTTAGGGTCCCTAAACTCTTTAGTGAGAGGTTTGGGAAGATCTGGGAAGTCTGTGCCGCACAAGATATGTGTATGTGTAGTTGGACACTTCATCGGGTTTGGGCCGTGGCTGTGGGGTTTAGGGTTTAGGGATCAAGGTTTTGGGTCTAGGGATCAGGTTTTGGGGTTTAGGTGGCACTTCATCGGGGTTGGGCCGTCGCTAAATCAGGATTAGCTAGGTGGCGAGGACTCCGGAGGCTGCCAAACCATTACACCGGAACAGTAAACTCTCCGTAGTTCCCATAGTTCAGGTATTTGCTGATGCCCTAAATGGAAGTTTCCGAAAATTAGGGGTACCTTAGTTTGGGGTCCTTATAATCAGGATCCTGCTACTTAGGGTACGATACAAGGGTCCTCGATTTTCGGAAACTCCCAAATCAAGAACTCTGAACCTTCGGCCCAAAGTCCTTATCGAAACCTTTACGGACTCGGGTTTAGGGTTTAGGGTTTTAGGATTTATAGTAGAAGCCAGAAAGATGGAACATCCTTAGCCTCATGTGCATAAAGTAAAGTAGAGGGAATCCCAGCATGATTCATCCTAAAGCTCTGGAAGCTAGAGTTGAGTAGCGAAATCAGGTCCAAGATCCCTGAATTCAAGGATTAAACAATGAGTCTTTTTTGTGGGAGCCTGCTTCTTATAGTTAAAGGTAGAAGCCGGAAAGTTGGAATATGGTTATCCTAACCCTTCTATGGTAAATTATAGGGTATCCTACCATGAAACCAGATTCCAACTTTCTGGAGTTCCCTTTAAAGGATATGTGCAGTCATTTTGTGTGAATCGACTGTAATTGAAGGATCTCTAAGACTTTCCTTACCTAGCGGATCTGCTAAATGGGACTTTCCGAAAATAGGGGACCCCTAATATAGTACCCTAAATAATAGGATCCCTATTATATGGACCCCCAAATAAGGTACCCCTGATTTTCGGAAACTCCCAAATCAGTTCCTCCATGGGCCGAGGTGCAGGGTCTACCTTGTCTGGCCTTCCGGCACCGCGCCGGGATCTTGGTCTAACGTGTCCGTTCCTAGTCGAAGGTTTAGGGTTCCGGGTTTTCTAATTCCCCTAAACCCTAAAGCCTTCAAAAAGTTTGGGATTTTGTGTTTTGGGATTAGGCTCTAGGGTTTCTATCGTGTTCGGAATGGGCGCTGTGGGCTTTCGGGTTAACTTCTTGTTGAAGGTTTGGGGGTCCTTGGTAGGAGGGGAGCTAGAGTTTAGGGGTTTAGAAATGAGCTAAACCGCCCGACCCTTACCCCTACACCTAAACCCCTAAACCCTAAGCCTACACCCCAAACCCTAGACCCCTAAACCCGAAAACCTTACACTCTAAGCCCCTGCTTGGGATCTTTATGGTTTCGGGGCCCCTTCTAACAGAGATGCCAGAAATTTAGACCGGGATCAGGCACGGAGTCTGCTTCGGGGTTCGGGTGATTGCCCCTCCCTCAAGCCCCCAAACCTTGCTTTGTAGGGTTATACTTATAATGGTTTCGTTATATTTATTCTGGAAGCTTTTGGTTTTCGGTGTTTAAGGTAAACGCTGAACCAGGTTTACACGTTCAAGGGTGAGTTTCGAGGTTTGTGCCGCCAACTAAATGAGTGACCGTCAGCCGCTCTGGGTTTATAAAACGTCAAACCCTCGAGCATACACGGTAAAACCACAAACTTGTAATCCTCCAAAGCCGGCCACACTTGAAAGGCCTGCGTTGTTCCCTAAAAATTTAAACCCTTGAACCCTCAACTGAAGGGAGTGGATGAGACCTGACATGCCTCGAGGTCTAGAAGGCTTCGGGCTTGAAGCTTTTTGGGCTTGAGGCCTCTGGCGTCGGGCAACGGGGTTTAGGGGTGACTGTTTAGGGTTTAGGGCTTAGGGTTTAGACTTTCAGGTTAGGGGTTAAGGTTCCGGGCTGACTGCGTGTCAGCGCCAACCCGCCAGAACATGCAGGTTTCGGGCTTTAGTAGTTGAGCGCGGCTCGGGGCGAGTTGGCGATTTTTGCTTCCTGTCATCGAAGTGGAGGATTTGGGGTGCAGCTGGGTTACCCAGAGAGCCCAATACCCCCTTAATTAAGGAATATGGCTTAAATCATAATATGAAGCCCTATATAATTTAAGCCATATTCCTTAATTAAGGGGTTTTGGGCTCTCTGGGTACGGGGCAAAGCGGTTTGGGACTCCTGACATGTACCCTCATATAGTAGAGACTTAGGCTTCAAAAGTACCTAAATAGGGACCTTTCAGGGCATAAGTATCTATGTACTATAAAGGTACATGGATCCTTTGGGAATGGTGTGTTGCAGTTTACCGAAGTCCCTGCACCTGCGGCGTGGAATCTGCACAGAAGGGGCGGGAGCGGCTGACACAATCTCGATAGCTATCCGCCCTACAACTTTTAGGGCTGTAATTTGAAGATGGGAGTTTCCGAACATAGGGGACCCTACTATAGTACCCAAAGTAAGGTCCCCCCCTGTTTGTGGAACCTCCCAGGTGTATGTTAGATTATGGAGGTCCGACCTGTATTATAGCCGATGACAGACTGAGGCTTTGGGCCATCGAGCCGCCTCAGGTGGCTTTGTCGAAGAAGCTCATTTGCGGCAGGCGTGTTCGAGACATTCGTGGCCAAAAAACCCTATAAACCCTTGAAGGGAACCCTAAAGGAACCCTTCAAAGGGAGCCCTTAAAGTTTTGGGTTCAGGGCTTCTCGGTTTTTTCAAGTGTGAGCGTTTTATTTTGTGCTGCTTGGACGTGGCGGTTCAGAGCTCTAGGCAAAAGGGATCGCAGGGTTCAGGGAGCAGGGCAGGTTGGAGTTCTGTGTATTGAATGGCTTTTCAGTCGGTTGTAGGACATCGGCAGTGCTGAGTAAGAAGGGTTTGGGGATGCCGGGTTTAGGGTTTGGGGTTTAGGGCTTAAGGATTAGAGTTTAGGGTTTGG